TAAGGAGCTCCAAATCTGCGCGGACACTGCCTTTAACGACAATAAATCAGCTTTTTTTGCGCGATTCTCTGCGCGAAATTCAAACGTAGATTCGTTTATCGGAACTTTACGCAAAAACCTCGTTTTCAGTACAAAGAAGGCTATAAAAAACAATCTAGCTGAGTTATTTTTGAATAATGCACTATATTTATTTCATTCAAATAATTCCTATATAGGTATTATTCTTACATCCGGGAAAAGCCCTGGATGATTTCGGTTTTTTGATGAAGTTTATGTTCATTCATGTCGGTCAAAGTGAGGGTCATCAAAGTACATGGCTCTACGTATTGAAAGTATGGGGAGATTATAAAGGCTAGAATTCTGGTGCATATCATAAGCACCAGGATATAGGCAGTTTGTTGTAGAATCTCCTAGCTTTCTGAGAAAGTATCAATCACCCATTTCTCCTGTCCATCAATTCATCGATAGCTTCTTTCAGTGTTAAAGCAGCAGACATTTCCCTGCTTATGTGGACACTGAAACAGCAGTTCTCACTAGGTTCTTACTTAGTGTTAAGTCGTGTTTAACCAACACATTTTAATGTTTCATGTTACCGTTTGATAGTCTTGAAAGGCCCAGGTTCAAATATCATAAGACGGATATTCAGAAGCTCAAATTCGCTTGTGGGTCCCTCTATCTGCAACGCAGGATCAAGAAAAAAAAAGAAAGAAAAGAACATAGTACATCCGAATTTTAACTCACATTACTGGACGTTAAGGTCGCATCGGAGAAAATTTCATCCAAAACTCGTCTCCTGCGATTGGACGGTTCCGACATAGGTGACCGCCCATAAGAGCTGTAATACAGAATTATGAACAGGAAAGTAAGTGCTTTTCACACGCAGACGTAAATATTTGCTAACAGGTGTACCTCCTTGACCTTTGGTATTCTTCATCTCCGATCGCTGTTTTGATATCAGCTTCTAGCGGTCTGAGCAGAAATCAAGAAGCATATGAAATTGAAAAGCCCATCGTTGTGACTTCATACCTGCTGGAACCTGAAGATCGCGATGATCTGCGAGCACGAATGTAACGAGGAGTGCGAGATCGTCGACTTTGGCTAGAAAAAAGGGTCATGAAGGCATTTTGTTCAAGGATGACCGCGGGATCTTCATGTTCAAATGCCGCCTATATTCCATTCGGCTAAAGTCCAAAATCTCGACTGCGCCAAAATTTTGCACAGGATGATTGGAAATGCCGATACTGAAAATTGATCTTGCATCTTGTTCGCCGGCACACTTAAAGGCAGTGTCTAGGCTTTAACCTTTCTGCATATTTTAAGACTTTTTGTCACGTAGAACCTGAATCGAGCTGCAAAGCTGGCGAAAACAAAACATTCTTGGAGCATTTGCCGATTTCTTAAAAGAAGCTAGGACGAGGGTTCAAATGATAGTCGGAAGGTTTGGAACTCTGCCAACCGTAATTCAGTACTGTATAGCGTACACAATGCGGAAGCGGTTGTGGTTGCGCCGAACCCTGCCGTGCGAGAGCGTATTGATACGAGGGCTGTTTTTCGTTGCGGAGTTACACCCAAATCCGCATCGGGCTTACAGATTAGTGGGTTACCAAAAATTCCACCACAGCTATATCTTACGAACTCGGATCTGGGAGACAGTGCCTTTAAAAACAGGGGCTCGGAAAAAGTGAGCATCTGGGAAAGTATTTGGTAGATGACTTGAGCCCGATTATGAAAACAGAGCAAGT